AAGACCTCGACGACCTTACCCCGCAATAGAGGAAAAAGGGAGGAACGTAGGGCCCCATAAAACCCCAAAGGAGACATTCCCTAAAACATGGTGCCTTTCTGGCTTCTTTTCCGGGTCCTAACATTCCCACCGGTGCCAAACTATGGCCTATCAAAGTCATCACCCGCCCTTCCGACCAATCAGCCACCGCCCCGCATACTAACCACCCTCTCCTGGGACTCAGCTCTCTATAAATGTATGCTTCACCCTCAAATAAAGCGGAACTTCTCCGGTGAACTGTCAGCTCGAGTCCTGTCATTCTTTCAACCTTCCTTATTCTGCAGTTTTCTCAATTTCCTACAGCTTAAAATACTCAGTATGCCAAGGTACCATATTTTGGGGTATCATGTTTTGAGCCCTGACATATACACAAAATTTGTACACAAATGTTCATAGCAGCATTGTTCATAATAGCCAAAAAGTGGGAACAATACAAAGGTCCATCTACTAGTGATAAATAAAATGAAGAAACAGGATATGTATATAACGAAATATTATTCAACAATAAAAAGAAATGAAGTACAGTCTCCACTTATGATTTTTCAACTTTATGGTAAGTTTATCAAGGTATTAAATTTGCTTTTGACATAATATTTTTTTACTTAGGATGGATTTATCAGGACATAACCCCATCATAAGTCAAGGCACATCTATTTTAATACATGCTGGGCCGTCCCGGTGGCGCACTGCTACAGTGCGCCGCTTGGGAGCGCAGCGGCGCTCCCGTCGAGGGTTCGGATCCCACGTACAGACCAGCTGCTCACTGGCTGAGCGAGGTGCGGGAGCAACACCGAGGGTTGCAATCCCGTTGCCGGTCCCAGTCCGGTACGGGCGTGACACTGAGGGTTGCGATCCGTTGCCGGTCACGAAAAAAGACAAAAAAGGAAAAAAAAAAAATACATGCTACAACATGGATCACCATTAAAAACATTATTCTACATGGAAAAAGTTAATCATGAAAGACCACATACTATGATTCCATTCACATAAAATGTTTATAGGAAAGGCAAATATGTAGAGACAGAAATCAGATTAGTAGTTATCTACAGCTAGGAAGTTGGGGAAACGTGAAGTGACTTCTAAAGGGGGCTTCTTTTTGAGGTGATGAAAACGTTATAACATTGATCGTGGTGAAGATTTTACAACATTGTGCATAAACTAGAAACCACTAAATTCTACACTTTAAATGGATTAAATGTATGGTATGTGAATTATATTCCAATAAACCTTTAAAAAACAAAGGAAAGAAAGAGGCAAAGTTTTCTTATTGAGAGAAAACGTAATTATAAACATGGAAAAACCTAGGGCTGGTTGTTTAGCTCAGTTAGTTAAAGTGTGGTGCTGATAACACCAAGGTCAAGGGTTCAATACTTGTATCGGCCAGCCATCAAAAAAAGAAAAATTCAAAGAATGTACAAAATGTTAGAACTATTAAGGCAGTTGGAAAAAACTGTTAGAAAGAAGCTCAGGATAAAAGAAACCAATAATATTTCTGTATTCCAGAAATAACCAATTAAAAAATATAATAGAAAATATATTACTTACTACAACATGATCTTATTTCCAATATTAGTAGATAGGAATAAGTCTAATAAAAGTGAACAATGCCATTTTAGAAGAAGTTACAAAACGTTATTACACATTCATGGACAGTAAGATCACAATTCTCTCAAAATTAATTTATAAATTAAGTGTGGTTCCAATCTGTTTTCTAATAGAATTTTTCAGTAAAACTAATAAAATTGATTCTTAGTGTTATAATCTAGTGAAGAGGCATACATAGGGCTCATGACTAATAGACAAAAGACCAAAGAAGTAGACATTCCTAACAAACAGTGAATCAAATTACAAAACTACAATACCTAAAACCATGAAAATAATAGAAAGTCTAGAAACAAACCTATAAACACAAGGAAACTTGGAGATGTGAAAGAGATTGCATCACAAATCAATAAACTACTGAGTAAATGATGTAAAACATCATACCCAAAATGAATTCTAAATAGAATTCTAAATAGATTAAAGATTTTCGAGTAAGGAAAACTTTATCATATAAAATTCCTAAAGCAGAAACATTAGAGAAAAAAATAATAAAATTGACTCTATCAAAATTCACCAACTTTTCAAAGTCCAATTCACCTTATTCAAGGTTCATAGAGCAGAAGGTATTTGTGACATATATAACAAAATATTAGTATCCAGAATAAAGAATGCCTACAAATCAATAAGAAAAAGGCAAACACCCCAACAGAAAAAAAGGCACAAAATAAGTCACAGTAAATCGCAAGACTAATTATACAGCATAAATAAAGAAATGAAAATTATTACCAAATAATCATGCAGCTGTGAATTAACATAAAGAACTACTACTTACCCTTATCAGACTACCAAATTGTTTTAAAGCTTTACAGAAGCAGAAACTGATATATAAATTAAGAAAGCAAGTGCACCAGAATTCAGTTCTCTAAATAGCACAGTCATTCTCTGATTGTGCACAAATAGACAACATATTTCCTTAAATACCTGCAATGAACTGATTTCCATACTCAGAAAGATATATCTTTCTCCCCTAACTTAAATATTCATGTACATATGCATACATACACACACACATCCATCCATACTATATACACACACACAAACACACATAGCCACACACAGTATATATATGTTAAACAGCTATATACGTGTACATGTGCTTATATATATTATATAGTCTTTTTATGTGCACAGAGAGACTACCATGTTTACCAGCACTAAAATTGTTTCTGGCCTTTTCAATAAAATCAGTGATAAAAGAGAAACCTGCAATTTAATGGAGAAAAAAATAAGCAAAAGCCATATGAAGACAAAAGGGAATGCCACAAAAATGTATTATTTTGAAAAAAAACGATCAAAAGGATATAAGAACATTATAAAGACTGGAACTTTTATCTTCTATATAAATAAAATTTTACTATGAATAAGGTACTTTTAGCCAAAGAAAGCACCATCTTAGAAACACATTAGTGATTTTAACTGTTTTGTGTTTTTTACATTTTATTTTTTTAAAAACCTATGAAATACAGTCATAAAACTATATTAAAATGAACTCTAATTATATTTATAAATTTAAACCTTAATTGAAAAAAGTTAAAACCCATGATTCCAAATATGCTTTTCAAAACACATTTTATTTCAAAATGCAATAGCCTTTATTTTTTAATGATTACATTTTAGGATAACTATTTGAAGTCAGTTTCCTGCTTTGCAACATCAATTTTTAAAAAGCTGTGGGTCTTAACTGAAAGAATATAAATTAATGCTAGTCCCCATTCGTGGATTTGAATATGTAACTTGTTATTTAAAGAAAATAACATGTTTTAAACTTCGTATAAGAAGTTAGATCCAAAATAGCAGTGTGGATTCTATTCTCATTGTATACCTTTACTTTTGCATCAATGCTATATTTTTCTTTTCTCCAATGTGCTTCCTGCTTCCTCAGTTTCTCCAGGTCATTTAGCAGGTCAGCACAGTGGGTACTTAATTTTTCATTTTCCTCTTCCAGATTTTTTATAACCAGTCTGTTTTGTTCTTCTTTATTCTGCACACACTCCTTAGTGTCCCGTAGAACAGTACCACAAGGGCCGATAAACAAAACAACAACAAAAAAAAGGTGAGAACCAACCAGCAAATATAAACTGTACAGTTTTACCCTCACAGCAGCTTCTTCTATATTTGATGGCCAAGGTCACCTGTGTACTTTTATTGGCCTCTTTTCATGCAGGTGGATGGGTCATATTTTTTCACTGGATGACAGCTTTGATGAGTACACATTTGCAAAGAGCCCATTAATTGATCAAGCTGCCTTTGATGCTGTCCCCAGCTATTTTTGAGACCCACACAGACATATCCTCCCAGACCTGGGTTTTATCAATTAATAATGCCAGTCCCATCAGAATCTAATTACAAGAAGCCACATATTCACACTCCTACTTTCTTAGCTCCATTTCCATCATTAACTATTTATCTGAAAGTTATAAAGCTTGGAGTCCTAGCTTTAAAGCATCTTTATCAGAGTTTTTGCATGCCAGAAAACTGTATGGTACAGCAGGGCCTAAGGCAATTTTTCCTCCAAGCCTGTCACTTTCTGTGCCACAAAGGCTGTCAAAGCTTAAAGCAGTACTTCAAAGCAACAGTCCTATAAAACTATGTGCAAGTGGACAAACCTTAACTTCTTGACTTTTATCTTTAAATTTCTCCTGCAAGTCATTGAATTCTTTCCTTAAGAACGCATTTTCTTCATCGCCTGCAATCTTCCGTTTTACAAGGTCATTTATTTCCTGTTTTAAAACTGATTCTCTCTGTGGAAAAAAAATTTAAATTATTGGTAAGCTGGTATATCTAAGAAAAAAAATATTTTAAAAACTTTAGGTTTTGATTGCTAATGTTAAGATTATATAACTTTCATAATAATGTCTATCATCATAACCCTTACTTCCTGTGACATGCCCATGGATTTTCAACTAAAATGAGCAAGTATGGTGCCTATTTATTTAAGATGAAGAAAACATACAAACTGGACACTAGATGTTAAGCCATATTCAGAAAGCAAATTTTCAGAATTAGGTGTGTAACAGGAGAAAAACAAAATTTTACAAAATATTCAAATTAAGAGAAAATGCATATATAGCTAAAATAAGAATTTCTGGTTTTGTTTTGTTTTGTTTTACCACTCCTGCCCTCCACCTAAGATAAGAATTTCTTACACTCTTATTTAAATGTCATTTGGAAGAAAACTTTTTAGAACTACAACTATGGTTTTGCTAGGGCATAAATAATTTTAAATAAAAAACAGCAAGTTTGTTTTGGTACTAAAAACATCTTGCTCTGTAGAAAAATATATTCATAATACTGACTGCCATAATTTTTAACTGAATATTCTTCTCAGCTGCCAGAGATTCCCTAAATGATACCATTGGTGGATGTATCCATGACTCAATTCTTAGTTTCCCTCTTTTTACAGCTTTTCATTGTGAAAATTTACGCCCTCTCTTGGCTTCTATACTTATTTGTCTGAAAATCTATCTAATCTATAATCTAACCCTGTCTCCCAATCACCAATCTCACATTTCTAACTTTCTATACAATATCTCCACAGTTGGATTGTCTGCTGCTACCTCAAACTAGTACTCTAAAACCTATATCCATATCCTGATACTATCTCTTTCCTAAAATTCTTCAAATTAAACTTCTTCAACTTTTGTCAATCCATCCACTTTTTCAACGAATATATTTTTTTTTATCATAAACCAGTTGATTATACATATCTGCGGGGTACAGAGTTGTATATCATTACCTGTGTGCAGTATGTGACCTAAAATTCTTCAAATTAAACTTCTTCAACTTTTGTCAATCCATCCACTTTTTCAACGAATATATTTTTTTTATCATAAACTAGTTGATTATACATATCTGCGGGGTACAGAGTTGTATATCATTACCTGTGTGCAGTATGTGATGCTCAGATCAGGATAATTAGTATATTGAACATTATACAATGTAATTGTTTTTCATGGGCCTTTAACAATTCAACTAATATTTATTGTGTACTATCTTGCCTGACAGGCTTATTTGAAGCCTTCAAGTCAGACTCAACAGTGCCATCCGTCTGACAACCAAGAGGCAGACATATCAAGATAGAAACATTTTCTTTTGGAAGTAATATGTTCAGTAGAAACCGACCTTTATTCCATCTCTGATCTATCACTGATGTTGATCCCTAAATATAAATTTATTTTGTACTCCCATATTTACTCCTTATCAAACCCTCTCCAAAGGACTTGAGGATAAAGTGAAAATGATTCATAGATAGAATGAAAAGTGGGTTGAATTTAATAGTGAGGACATCTCCTATGTTCTAATTTTTAAAGCTATAATGTTAATTGTTAACTTTTTATTTCTACTTAAAATATTTTAGACACTGAATATATACAAAAATAATCTGTGATAAGTGTGCAAAGAATAGAAAATAAAAGGGGTAGCCCTGTATCCACCACCATCCAGCTAAGAAACACAAATCTGCCATTATCTTTGAAGTCTCTTATCCTCTCCAGGGGTAACCACTATCCTGAAACTTTGGTTCATAACTTTCTCTTGCTTTTCTTTATAGTTTGAAGACATACATATCTGTGTTTAATACATTCTATGGTTTAGCTTATCTTTTAACTTAATGTAAATTAAATCATACTACACATATAAGGGTACGTCAAAAAGTTGATGGAAAAATAGAGTTAAAAGATAATACGAATCTTTCCATGGACTTTTGAAGTATTCTCATATTCTGTGACTTGCCATTTTTGCTCAATATATGCTCCTAAATCCATGTATATTGATGGATGTACTGCAGTTCAATTACCTTGGTGTACAGTATTATTCCATTATATAAAAACCATATATTTATCCATTTGTCAGTATATATTTCAGCTGTTTCCCATTTGAGAGAAAGGGGTATACAAAAAATGTTGCTATCAATACTCTTAAGCATGTCTCCAGATATACATGAGCAAGAATTTCTCCCAAGTAGTATTTTCAAACTACAGATTGCAGTCTAGTAATCAGTCATTAAATCACTTTAGTCATCACAATCAGAATTTTTAAAAAATGAATAGAGGGCCGACCCCGTGGCGCACTCGAGAGAGTGCGGCACTGGGAGCGCAGCAGTGCTCCCGCTGCAGGTTCGGATCCTATATAGGGATGGCCAGTTGCGATCCCCTTACCGGTCACAAAAAAGACAAAAAAAAATGAATAGAATAGAAAATATCAAAGTGATATGCACAAATTCTTAGCAAAAAATGCCCATAAAACATTAAATTTATGAAACAAGCAGACACATTACATAAATTAAAATACTTCCTAAAACTTTTGTGTTTAATTTCAGATTTTTATTATATTTAAATATTATTAGATTCACATTTAATATAAGCATTGCTATATGTTTACTTTTACTATACACTGTAAGGACAACTAATAATATGAAATTTTTATTTCATGTGTATATACTGGGTCATGAAATAAAATGTACTTTTTCAGTTTGGGAATCATTAATAAAAGTTTGAAAAACACTTCTCTAGATTATATATACTTAGAGGTGAAACTGCTAAGTCACAGGCTATAAGCATTTCAAGAATACCCATCACCCCACATTCCCCCCAACACAACTCTCAGGCTTGGAAATTTTTCAAAAATCCAGTAGATATAAATGGCACCTTGATATAGTTTTTAATTTTCATTTCTTCTTTTAATTATTAGGCCATATCAAAATGTGTCTGATACCAATCAAACAGCATAAAAATGAATGCATAAAAATGGCATATCTACAATTCAGTCCATTTTTCTACTCTCTTTCTACTTTCTACTCCATCTAAGTCTAATCCTCCTTCAAGAGTCAACTTCCACCTCCTCCATGAGAGCGTCCCAAACTATCCTAGTTTAGAATTTTGTAATTCCTGCCATTTCTAAATTTCTTTATTGCCTTTATTATTTGACACATAACATACTACCTAGGTCTTGCTAATTATCTCTCTATACACTCAAACTGTCTCCCAAACTAGATTAGTAAATGTTTATGGATGACACTCACACTGAATGATAAAGTCAATGATGTGAACATTAAGACTTAATAAAATAACCATAGGCCTATCATTTGAAAGGAGAAATGACAAAACTTGAGCATCCCTTGTCTACTCTGGAGATTATTTAGACACTAGGAAAGACAAACACTTACCAATTGACTTAAATTTTAGAAGGGTTTTCCCATTAAAGTGAGCTAAACTAACAGGCACTAATAATATGAACAACATCAATAATAAATCCTTTCATGACAATTATTTAACAATTTAAATTTTGGCATTTGAGTGAACTTAGTAATTCACAAGGACAAGCACAGACCTAACTTACAAATAAAAAAGCACAATGTGAGAAATTGGCTAACCAAAACTATCATAATCTGATAACTAGTTTGACTAATTTGATATTATATTGTATAATCATTAAAGTAATAAGTTAGACAAAGGTGCAGTCCCAACAGAAAAGGACTGATAAATTAAACTGAAAAATTTGTAAAAGTTTGTATAATTAAACATATTTTCCTAATAAAATATAGCCTCAATGATCTACTTTACTTTTTATAGAAAAGGACTGATAAATTAAACTGAAAAATTTGTAAAAATTTGTATAATTAAACATATTTTCCTAATAAAATATAGCCTCAATGATCTACTTTACTTTTTATTTATTTATTTTTTTCCCCTTTTTGTCTTTTTTACTGACCGGTAACGGGATCACAACCCTCGGTGTCGCGCCCCTACCGGGGACCGGCAACGGGATCGCAACCCTCGGTGTTGCACCGGCACCGCACTCAGCCAGTGAGCAGGAACTGGTCTCCACGTGGGATCCGAACCCTCGGCGGGAGCACCGCCACACTCTCAAGCGGCGCACTCTCCAGTGCGCCACCGGACCAGCCCTCAATGATCTACTTTAAATGAAAGCACAAATATACACATATAGTTAAAGTTTATTTTAAAATTTAGGTGTATGAAACTTTTGCAAAAACCTTTCTGGATAGAGTAGAATAATTCTTAATGGTCTGGCTTGAATTAACATTAAAAAAGCAAACAGAACTCAGAGAAACCACAATACATAAAGGGTGACATGAGAAAGTATGTCTGGAACAAATAATTTATTATGGATAAGCCATGAAATGAATAATTCAAATCATGGTCAAGAGAAGTCTATACAGTAAGAAGAGACTAACAGTGAGTATGAAGGAGGAAAAAAATGGGTAAAGGAGGGCCAGCCCGTGGTTCACTTGGGAGAGTGTGGTGCTGATAACACCAAGGCCGCAGGTTCAGATCCCTATATAGGGATGGCCGGTTAGCTCACTTGGGAGAGCGGGGTGCTGACAACACCAAGTCAAGGGTTAAGATCCCCTTACCAGTCATCTTAAAAAAAAAAAAAAAAATGGGCAGAAGGGGTGGGAGCATAAGACCTAAAACTCTACAAGGAAATACCTGAGCATAGTTAATTTTTTTTTTTATACTGACCTACTTTCAAAATGAACATGAAAGTTTTGATAAAAAACAAAGAATCAATGAAGCCACACAATTAAACAATGCTAAATGGAGAAAGGGGAAGGAGTAAGAGAACTAATTGCAAGAACCAAAATTTATTTCTGAGCTTCCTAGAAAATAAGGGAGACAGGAAATTAAAGAGCAATCAGCATCTAATTAAATGTAATATACTAGGTTATCAGAAGTCATGTTATCTAATACAATACTAGAAGGGGAATTTATTACATGACTTATGTTATACCTAATAGTGATAAAGCTAAAACACAGTCTTACCAAAAGAAGTTGTATGAAAATCCTTCACACTATTATCAATAAAATATGTTATAACATTAGATTACTCTTCTATGGAAGTTCTTCTGCAATCAGCTAAAAAAAAATAGCACTGCATGTATGCCTAGTAATTTGACTAAATACATAAAGACTTAAATAAGCTAAAAGAATTGTCATTCTGATTGTTACTTTATTCCACAGGCCATAAATCTTGAAAATTAAGAGCTATTTAATATTACTCAGTGGAACAACAAAAATTCAGTGGAGGGGCTTCCAGTTTCCAGTACAACATGTAAGGAACTTGGAAGTCATCTCTCCAATTCGCACAAGAAAAAAGCTGAACAAACTGAAAATCAACAACTCTTCTTAGATCCATCAGAGAACAGAGATCATTGGACAAACCAATATGCTCAAAATTGAAGAGACAGATGACAGATACACAGAATAACAATTCACCAAAGCAGAATCCCAGAGGAGAAAACTCCATGGGAATCAATACCAGGGGAGGAAAACCCAGTCTGTAATTGATGAATTACTGGAGGATCAGTGTGGACAAGTTTGAGAGCTAAAAACTCCAAAAGAGCCAAATCTTGGGAGTGCCCCCACATTTTTACAGGTTGTACAAGAGCCCTGTCAGGTTGTCAGAGACAAGATCAGAGAAAAATCCCTTCCTGCTTCCAGCAAGAGGAGGGAGAAAGTAGCCATTTTTAAACAAACTCATAGTATTCTTTTCTTCTTATCAAAGTCTACACTCAAGAGAAACTATTTTACCAGTGCCCAGCCTAATGGGGTTTTACCAGAGCCTAAACAACCTGAGGAAGGAAAATACCCAACTCCAGCACCCTCTAGCTTTCTTATCTCTCTTAAGGGGGCCAGAAAACAAAACAAAACAAAACAAAACTGAGAAGTACTTGTGAAGGCCAAAGTCAGGTGCACAAGCTCACTAAAAGACTGAGACCTAATCGTAACACGGTCGAATGCTTCCCCCCACTTCCCACTACACCTCATAACCACATCAATAGGGCTCCTGTATATTAAAAGAGTAATACAACTGAAAAAATATGCATCTCAGAGAACATTTAAGAAGATTCCAGAGAAACTTAAATAAAAAAACAAGGACACCAGAGAAAAGTTTCACCTCTAACACGGAGAGCTATGGCAAACAATAGACACAGACTAACCGCTAGCCGGATAAACATAAAACCACCCACGAAAGGATTATTTACCTCAGTTCTTTTTACCCATTGTTAAATTTTATGTGTCAATTTGGTAGGCCATGGTACTCATGGTACCCCTCTTTGATGAAATACCAGACTAGATGTTGTTGCAAAAGTATTTTTTAGTTGTGATTAACATTTAAGTTAGTGAATTTTTAAGTAAAGCAGGTTTCCTTCCATAATGTGGGTTGGCCTCACTCAATCAGTTAAAAGCCTTAAGAAAAAAACTTATGGTCCTTGCAAAAGTATTTTTTAGTTGTGATTAACATTTAAGTTAGTGAATTTTTAAGTAAAGCAGGTTTCCCTCCATAATGTGGGTTGGCCTCACTCAATCAGTTAAAAGCCTTAAGAAAAAAACTTATGGTCCCCAGAGAAGGATGGAATTCTCCCTCCAGACGGCCTTAGGATTTGTGCTGCGACATCAACTCTTCTCTTGGTCTCCATTTCACTGGTTTGCCCTGCAGAATTTGGACTTGCCAGCCCACAACTGCATGAGCCAATGACATAATAAATCAGTCAACCTCTCTCTCTCTCTCCTTCCCTAAACTGTCACATTTCTTCATTCCTTTCCATCACTTTGTCAGAATTCAGTGATCTCTTAAAATTTCATATAATATCCCCCTGTACTGCTTTCTAAAATTATTTAAAACTTCATGACTACTGAATTTAATGTCTTTTTCCACAACTCCACCCTTTTTGTAGCACTTTTCGTTGACCATTTTGCTTCTTAAAACTCCCCTTTCGCAGTTTGTAGGATTTTGTATTGTACATCTCTCTACTTCCCTAAACAATCTTTTTGTCTCTTTTATTAAAATTTGCCCTTCCCCTTACTCATCAATAACATTAGTAAATTATCTTGTTCTCAAAATTCTCACTGTTTAAAGTCTTCCCTCTAACTATAACATTAAATATCTACATCTCAAGGTCAAAACTCCCTTGCAAGGGTCAGATCCATGCTTTCAAAAGTTTGCTAAAAATCTCTGAATGGAATTCCCAGCAATAACTAAAACAACAACTATCTAAAAAGAAGCTCAAAAACCTTACCCTCAAAACATATAAACATATAAACAAATAAAACATGTTTTATTTCCTGATGATAATCCTCTTTCTAATAATAATGTTACTGTTCTTCTGGTTTCTCCAGGCTGAAAACCTAACAGTCACTTTCAAATTACTGTCAAACTCCTATGCTTACATTTACATACATTTAATCCCTGCAAACCTAATAATCCGTATCCACGCCAGTATTCTTAAACTATAAAATAACCTCCTAACAGATATTCCAACATAACATTGGTCTTATCCCAGCATACACTCCTATATATTATCTCTGAAACAAACCATAAATTTCAACATTACCCAAACATACCCTACACTCTTATCTTCATGCATTTTGCCTAGTGTTCACCCTGGGCAAATCCTTTTACAATCCCTACCTATTAAAACCTGTTTGAAAACTTCAAGACCCCTTCACTGAATTTAATCTCTCCTTCATTTGAATCTTTGTAGCATTCTGTTTGTGACTCTCTCATGGAACATTCAACAATATTAAGTGAGCATCTGTTAGGAGGCAGGCAATGTAGTAAATATTAGGCACTAAGCATACAAAGGTCAATAATAGAGAAATAGTCCCACCCTCATAGAACCTATAAACTAGTGTAGGAGAATATGGTTATTTGCATTTTATTTTTAATCCCACCCTACAACTCAGAGATTTAAAAATCATTAAAGAACTGTAACTGAATTTTCCACAAAACCATCACAGGATAATGTATACATTTAATACAATATTTTGTTGAATCTAACTAAAAACATACCTTATAGAAAGTTATAACCATTACTGAACAAAAATTTACATGATTTAGGCTAAAAAAAAAAGTGGGGCCCTAAAAAATAAGTAATTGCTCTTGTGGGATATAAAATAGTAAATTAATGAAATAATCTCTATGTAGGGAAGAGGAAGCAGAAAGAGAATTTATCAAAGAAAAAAGAAAAATGCATTGTCATTTACAAAAGTCAATATTTCTTAATCATATGCTATATAGTTATCAAGCAGGAAAACTCAAGAGCATTCAGTAAAGCATTGCAAATTTAACACCAAAGGATATTAAAAAGAGTGCCAAAACCCATTCTCCTTCTCCATAGAATAGAATTGTAACAGAAGAAAAGACTGCTCAGCCTGGATCTACATTTTCCCAACCCCCTTGAATCTTGGGGTGGCCATATGACTAGTTTTTCTAAATGAACTGTGACTGCAAATACTGTTTGCCATATTGGGTCATAAGGTTGTATTTATTAGGCAGCTTAGCTTAGTCCAATTAATACACCTGGCACACAACAATATTTACCTATCTCAGAATGCATTTCGATATTATTTGATAGTCAGGTGGCAAATACAACTGTTTCTTTCCAGAACAAATGGACCGACATGTTACTTTTAAAAACTAACCATTATAATACCAATTATGACATTTCCTACAAGGAAAACACAACTTTGGAGAAGGTATAAATCTCAAATTCATGTCATATTGGAATTTATACTCCATTTTAAAAAGAATTTATATGGATCTAAAGAATGAAAACATAATTGAACCTCTTATCTAAGTAAACTTCCACTTCTAGTCCTTTAATAAAACAACTTTATGATAACCAACCTTAAATCAAAGTTCTCATGACACTTTAATTGGTTAGGAAGGAAACAGATTCCAAAGTCACAAGAGCATAGTCGCCAAAAAGGTACCTCCATTTAACTCAGAATAATTATAGTTAATTTAGCCCATAATGAACATTTGGCTATAAAATTAATTTAAGTACTATATAATGATATCGGCCATTCTTACAATAAATTTCTTTCACTCATATTTTTAAAACGTTTATATCTTGAAAATGGTTCCTGGAAGCACTGGCCACACACTTTTTGCAGTGATAATATAATGATTATATAATCACCTGTAATTTTACATATATAATCATATTTAATTGTATAATTGACTGATTATAAGCAAAAGATAGAATTGTACTAATTCGAAAGTAGAATCATCCCAGTTATACTATTGATCTTTTCTAAAAATGAAACCATCTGAAAACTTAAAAAGTTTCAGCAGTGAATAACTGATAATAATATAAGGGTACTTCAAAAAGTTCATGGAAAGATTCATATAAACATTTAATTCTATTTTTCCACAAACTTTTTGAAGTACTCTTGTAAAAGACAAAATTCAACAAAACAATGAATAATAACTATACTACTATAAAACTATAACATTATCTAAGAGTTTTAATGCATAAACATAGTAGCATATCAATTCAGAAAACAAACAGGTTTACAAACAAAGTATGATAATGAATATGACTAGAGTGATTTTGAAAAAGTAATGCTTTAACATAATGACCCTGGTATTCTTAATAAATATTATTGTAAAAAATAATCTTAAATAATTTTAAAGATCTGCTACCTGAATCTGCTATAGTAATTTTTAATATTTTTTATCAAAACACCAACCTGTTCCAATTCTTGTATTTTAGTATCCTTGACTTGCAGAATTTCTAGAACTTTTCTGTCTTTAGCTTCAGATTTCTGTTTTTCTCTACAAATGAAAAATATATATATTAAGCTTATTAGTCATAATTGGTAGCTAATCCTTTAAATTTTGATATCTTGTTCATGAACATCACTTTAAAATATAGAAAATTAAATCATCTTGTGTTGACAGCCTTTTCAGAATTAATCAGAATCCATATGGCAAGTGACAGCAACTTACAACTACTCACAACTAAGACAACTTCATAGTAAAAGTACAGTTTAGTTTCCAGATTTAGATATATTATTTTAAAAATATGTAAAACATGGTTTAACCTTAATTGCAATAACCATAATGTCATCATTTCAAAATAATTAACAAGTAAATATGTTCTTGTTAATACAAGCATTTTATACACACAAGTATATTAAGGATAAAATACTACCATTTAAAAAATAAGATTCTCAAAAGAGAGAGCCAGAGATTTACTAATAATCAATATCCCATGTCTAGAATTTTTGCATTTCTGACACCTTCCTATACATTTCTAGCCTCTGAGAACACTATTAACTAAACTAAACTAAATGGTAATTGTATAAACATACAACCCATACTTCCCTGGGAAACAGAAAAATACAACACTTGTAAATAATGATTATCTTCTAAAAATAAACAAATATGGTTTTAACAAAGAAAAGGAGAGGAAGGTAAAGGAAGGAACAAAGGTCTGAAGAGACTAAATAATCAGGCTGACACTGGTCAGTTCACACCATAAATGGAGGGAAATTTATTAGAACACTGATAGACACTGATATATATATATATATATATATATATTTTAAACTTTAAAAATAGGTAAAATAAATCGAAATCTGTGCCTAAATCACTCATGAATCATATACTGCACAGATAAGGAAGAAGGACAGAACCCTCACTTGAGAAAGAATGAAATGCAGCAAAGGGCCTTTAGAAAGCACAAATGGCTATCAGAAGTTAGCATAAATAAGTTCACACTTGAGGCTCCCTCTCTTCTCTAAATATATAGTACTAATAGAAAAACAGAAAAAAAATAAAGAGAAATAGCTATTTCTCTAAAGATCACAGACTAAACAGAAATACAAAACTATGAACAGGGATGAAGCTGCTATTTGCTGTCCTCCAGATTCAGAAGCAGACTAAGGCAGAAAAGAGCTTCTTTTCTGGGGATAATAGGGAATAAAAGTGCCTTGCTCAATATGTAGCACAGCCAGGCTCTGGAGTGGGCTCCTAATTCATGAAAGGAGGCTGTAAAAAGTTTCTGCCCACTCTTGCCTGGAACTTAAGGCTTATATTAAAGTCTAGAGGCCCCCTCCACCTGGAAGCAGGCAAAAGAGCATGTTCAAGGGTCCTAGGCAAGGAGCTGAAGGCAGTATCCTCCACCCAAAAGCAGGCAACAGAGCAGGCTGAAAATACCACTTCTGCACAGGTGGCCCACCACAGCCACCGAAAAAGCAGCTCAACGCCACAGCAGCAGCCACAGCCACCGTGCAGGCAGCCCACTGGATACTCAACTGCACTGACACAAGGAGAGTCACCAGCAGAGATCAGAAAAAGTAGTTTGCTCTACTTTTTCTATTTTCTTAAGGTAGAAGTTTACATTACTGATTTGAGATTTTTCTTATTTTTAATATAGGTGTCTACAATTGTAAATTTTCCTCTAAGCACTGCATGAGCCCTGCATCTTATAAATTTTGATATGTTGAGCCTTGATCTTTACTTCAAAGTACTCTCAAATTTCTCTATGATTTTTTTTTACCCATTATTTAATTAGGAGAGTGTTAATTTCCACACATTTGTGAGTTTTCTGAATTTCCTTCTGTTACTGTTGTCAAGGAACATATTTTCTATGATCTTAGTCATTAAAAAAATAAAAAACAAAAAATTTAAGAGTTCATCGAAAGATGTCCATTATCTTTCAGTTCGACTTATCCATGAACTTTCTGAAGTGCTCTTGTGTTTACATTCTGTTTTACTGATTTTTCATACTATTTATGTTGCTAAACTTAGATATTTAATTTCTGTTCTTGATTTTTTTTTTTTCCTTTTTTGTCTTTTTCATGACCGGTAACAGGATCGCAACCCTCGGTGTCGCACCCACACCGCGCTCAACCAGTGAGCAGACCGGTCTCTATATGGGATCCGAACCCGCGGCCTTGGTGTTATCAGCACCACACTCTCCCGAGTGAGCCACGGGCCCGCCCCAGGTTTGTTTTGTTTTGTTTTGTTTTTTTAAAGATGGGAAATAAATAGCATGTGTGTATGCTAACAAGAATGATCCAGGACAGTGAAGGATAGTGATGATGTAGGAGAGAGAAGAAAGAACTGCAGAGTGACATCCTTGAGCCCTTGAGGTTTTAGTGTACACATAGTAAGTTTGGCCTTAGATGCGAGTATAAACAGTTCTTCCAAGAAATAAAAAGAGAATATGAGTACAGATTCATATATGTTGGTAGATGTGGTTATGGGAAGGAGTAAAAGCTCTCTTTTAAGAGTTCCTATTTTCTCAGCAGTGTAGGAAGCAAGGATATCCATCAGCTGAAAGTAAGAATAGGAAAACAAGCATTGGAAGTTGAGAAGAGAGGAACCATAAAATATTCTAGGATACTGGGATGGTAAGTGGGCCTGAAAAAAACAGGTTGGCTACCAGGCAGTACTAAGGACCACTTGAAGTCAGTAGTTGTAAGTTTATGTAAGACCAGTGTCATCATGGATTGGGGTTTTTCTCCAGTCGTGTTTAGCCATGTGGATGTAGGCACACAGTAGTAGCTGGTATAAACCATGTGGAAAATTTTGCAAACATATGGATTATGACTACCTTTTTTTTTTAACTATTTGCACTTTATCCTACTTTATTATTTTGCTATTTTCTATTCACCATGCATTAATAGTACATTTAATGCATAATCACAATCCACTGTCTTCAACTGGGCTTTCTTTTCATTTGTGTTTCTTTTATTAACAGTGAAATTTTACACCTTTCAGAAATTGATGCCCCCTTTTATTTTCTGTTTTTCCATTGCCTATTAATCTACCTACTATCTTATATTTTAGTGTTTTTTATTGATTTACAAAACTATTTTATGTTAATAATATATAACCTTTACCTATCATTAGTCACTAATATATAATCTCAAATTATCACTTGAATCTTTACCTTACAATTATAAAATTATCAATATTGCAAAAGAGCACTAAATCTATTGGAGATATAGACAACCCTCAACTTAATGATGGTTCGGTTTACAATTTTTCAACTTTATGATGGTGCTAAAGCAATAAGCATTCAGTAGAAACCATACTTTGAATTAAAGATTTTGATCTTTTCCTGGGCTACAACACGCTGTACGATGTTCTCTTATGATGCTGGGCCACGGTAGAAACCACAGCTCTCAGCCACACAGTCATGAGGGTAAACAACCAATACTTGGTATCTTCCTAAAGAACACTGTGCCTGCTAAACCATCAAGTGTCAATGCCCCAGTGCCTTCTACCAGCTATTCTTGAGCATCATTAAAAGAGAGAGAAATTAATGATGCTGTCGCTTTAGCATACCTACCATCCAACAATTAATTTTAGTTCAATGCTTCAAACATTCTTCAGGCCTTGTGTGCTTTCAGTTGTGTACGTTAATGGTGAATATCCATGCAACCATTCTGTTTTTCATGTTCAGTACAGTATTTGATAAATTACATGAGATATTCAACACTTCATTATAAAATAGGTTTTGTGTTAGATAATTTTGCCCAACTGTAGGGTAATATAACTGTTCAAGCACATTTAGTGTAGGCTAGGGAAGCTATGATGTTCAGTAGGCTAGGTGTATCAAATGCATTTTCAACTTAATGATATTTTCAATTTATGAAGGGTTTATTAGGATGTAACCCCAACCTAAATTGAGGAGCATCTATAAAAATGACCAAATCCCAAAGGGGAGAGTTTACCCAGGAACAAAGACCCAGGTCAAGAAAGCCAAAGCATTAATTCCAGTCAGAAATTCCCTCTGTAAGTTCCTTTCTGGATATACCATGAATCTATTGTTAACTTTCCAGAAATTACTTTAATTCACAGGATTAGAGTCTTTCTAATCCACTCTTCTGCAATAAGCATAAGACTCCCACTATTGTCAAAATAAATTCTGGTGGTCCTTCTAAATAAGATAAGAATAAAACTAGACTATATGCCACAAAACCCAAACAAGAGCATTATTCCAGCTTGCAAATGATCTTTATACTAAAGTGATTATCTCCTGTGACACAGGATGTACGTAGGCTCACTCACAGTCTGAGAACAGTGATTCTCAAAGTGTAGGCTGCCAGGGCACCAGCATCACCTAGGTTAGAAATGCAAGTTATGGGCCGGCCCGGTGGCACACTGCTTAAGTGCGCCGCTTGGGAAGTGCGGCGGCACTCCCGCCAAGGGTTCGGATCCCACATACAGACCAGTTCCCGCTCACTGGCTGAGCGAGGCACGGGAGCAACACCGAGGGCTGCGATCCCGTTGCCGGTCCCGGTCCGGTACGGGGGCGACACTGAGGGTTGCGATCCATTGCCGAACATGGAAAAAGACAAAAAAAAACAAACAAAAAAAGATGCTATGGACTAAATGTTTGTGTTCCCCAAAATTCATATGTTGAAGTCCTAATCCCCAATGTGATGTTATTTGGAGGGTAATTAGGACATGAGGGCAGAGCCCTCATGAGAGGAATTAGCACTCTTACGAGAAGAGACACTAGAGAGGTGATCTTTCTCTCTGCCATTTGAGGACACGGCAAGAAGGCAGCCATCTGCAAGAGAGCGCTCACCAGGAACCAAACCAGCCAACACCTTAATTTTGAACTTTCCAGCCTCCAGAACTGTAAGAAATAAGTGTTTGTTGTTTAGGTCACGCAGTCTATGGTATTCTGTTATAGCAACCAGAACCGACGGAGACACAAGGCCTCAAGATCTTGATGCACACTTAAAGACTGAGAGTCACTGAAATAACAATAACTGACACGCTTCCCAATATATTAATATGAGTGATATAATAC